TCGGCACCCGAAATATTATTGTTGTCGTAAAGTATTGGTAATTTATTACATTATCTTTCTTCAGTTATTCATTTACTGTATATAAGAGTGCTAAATAATGTTAAATTATTGTTAGTATTCAAAGAACATTTAATTCATCAAAGATCAGCAAAGGTTGCAGATTTTAAATTATGAGCGACGAATGTTTGAATGATACAGTGTTAGAGCCTGAAGATGATATGGTGTTAGAGCCTGAAGATGATATGGTGTTAGAGCCTGAAGATAATATGGTGTTAGATCCTGAAAATGATGATTTGGATAGGACAGAATTTGGTGATATGGATGTTAATAAAGACTCTGTGTTATCACAACCTATTAGTCAAGATTTAGTTAGAAAACAAAAAAAAATTAAAAGACCGGGCGGTAGTCCTGTTAAACTATTTTTTGAGACAATATCAAGTAATAATATAGATTATTGGTCTTGTCGTCATAAATCTTGTATTCCACGAGTAAAATATATAAAGGATGGCTCCACTTTGAATTTATGGCGTCATATGAGAAATAGACATCATATTTCACAAGCAATGATAGAAGGTAGTCGAGTAAAGGTCGTGATAAAGGAAAATAATAAGTGTGAATTTTCTGTGATGTCAGAATCTTCATAAACAATGATAGTGCAAGCATTTGAAAAAATTAAAAAATATACTCCTACTAACCCAAAACAAAAAAATCTTGATCACAACATAGCTGCTTTTATTGTTGAAGAACTTCAGCCATTTTCAATTATTCAATCATAGGCATTTAAAAGAATAATTGAAGGGCTTGATGTACAAGCCAACGTGCTTGGTTATGATCATTTGAAGAAAATTCTAATTAATTCTGAGAATAAGGTTCTGCAGAACCTCCGTGAATATGCACTTGATAGTGCTGAAATTAGTCATATTTCATTTATCACCAATATGTGGACATCGAATAATGGTGATCCGTATATTGGTCTTACTTTCCACTGGGTTAATGATAATTTTCAAGCAAAAGAAATGATTGGTAACATTTCGTATCTCCCATATCCCCACACCTTTGAATGTCTTGTAAATAAAATTACTCAAATTTTAGATAATCTTCAACTTAAACATATTACAGTTAGCGGTACAATCGATAACGGATCAAATATTAAATCATGTTTAGAAAAACTAAAACGAAAATATGGCATTTTTAATATTCATTGTTTTGGTCATACTTTACAGCTAGTGATTAATGATGCATTAGAAGAGTGCTTCAAAATTACTAATTTAATAAAAAAATGCAAAGATATTGTATCGCATTTTAGTGGAAGCTCTAAGCAGAAACAATTTCTTCTAGAAGCTCAAATTGAGATGGAAGACTGGGATAATTTTCTTTTTGTAGTTCGTGATGTTTCAACAAGATAGAATTCGACGTTTTATATGTTAAAATGGTTAACAACTCTTAAACCAGCAATGTATAAATATAAGTCCTTTTTAGTTGAAATTAATGATAATAGTTCACTAAGAAGTTACGAAGCAAAGGAGCTATTGTCAGATGAATGGGAAAAAATAGCCGAGTTAGTTAAACTATTGTATCCTTACGAAGTTATTTCAAAAAAACTAACAGGTTCAACATATCCAACACTTTCTCAAGCGTGGTTCGCAATTAATTTCATTAAAATAAAACTTGATTGCGTAATAATAAATAATGTTGATATTCAGAAATTTAGGAGTCTTCTTGGTAAATCAATTCAGGAACGTTTCTCAAAACCAACAAAACCTATTCGCCTTGCTGCTTTTTTGATCCACGGACCAAAGATATGCAAATTTTTACAGAAGAGGAAAAGAATCATACTATTTCAGAAGCACGTATAAAATATCTTGAATTAGCTAATAATTATTATAAATCGGATAGTTTATCAGATATAGCACCTGATGATATAATGAATAGCGATGATATTTTCTCTAATCCTGTGGTTCAAGTGTATTCAAGTCAAAATGATGATAATAACATTGCTAACCGTGAATTTAATTCTTATTTATTACTACCAAGGGTTCCAAGTGACACAGATATACTTCAGTGATGGGCCTCAAGAAAAGCTGATTATCCTATACTTGCAAAGCTTGCCCGCAAATATCTTTCAATTCCAGCTATGTTGGTACCATCTGAACGCCTTTTTTCTTCCGCGGATCTTACTATTACTGAAAAAAGAACAAGCCTTAATTCTGAGTTTGTTGAATCAATCTTGTTCCTTAAAGCGGCTTTAAAGCTTTGGCCTATCTCACATGTTTTTGGTTAGGTAAGAAAATTTTATATCAAATGTTTTAAAACAATTGAATTTAGTAATCTAATGGACTGTTATTGAAATAGGTGAATAGTTTCAGAGTTAAATCAGGTATAAACTGACAGAACACTCAAAAAAAAAAAAATTGAAGCACTTATGGGTCTATATAAATCATTAAAATTGAACATTTGAATATTCAAAAAAAAACGTAAATGAGAAAAAATAAGGAGGCAAATATAAATTATATGTATATATATGTGTATCATTAAAATTTAACAATGCGTTTGCATT